AGCCTTGGCCCGCGGTGGGGTCCGTCTTTGGAGCTGGCTGATGTTGGCTCTGTCAGACCTAGGGGAAGCTTCTAGCCGTTTCTTGCAGAAGCCACCCCTACAGCCTCCCTGCTACCAGCATCTGGCCAGGCAAACCCAATACACTAAGAGAGCAAGGACAAGCAAGTGGTTTTGTGGGGTGAGGAAGAAACAAGAGTAGTGACTGCTCTTGGTTTTGGGATTGTTGTGTTTTAAATGATCCCACCACTTTCCTTTATCTTCACATGTGTTTTCCCGTGGAATCTAATTGTTCTGCTGTTTCTGGGTATAGTCACTAGGCAAGTGAATTGAGGTTCTGTTACAGAACTAATAAACTGATTTTATCGCATGTTATTCATGGGAATGTAGCTAAGAAATCACTAACTGAAAAGTCATATGTGATTGTAAAGCTTTCGCACAGCCTTCCTGTGTTGATTTTCCAGTGGAGGCCAGCAAGTGCCATAGGCCTAAATTGTAGGAAGAGATTAATTTGCTTTTTAAGACCAAAAGTAAGAATTCGTGGAAGACCTCTGTGTAATTTGAGGGACTGTTAATTCTTGAGAGTAGCCTAGATCTCATAAAGATGCCGAGAGAATATTTTAGAGCTTCATAGAAGACTTTTATTCTCCCTGGATGTGAAGACTAATGAGAGGGCATTGTCAAACAATAGCTGTTTTCTTGATTTTATCACATTAGGAAAGAAATCGTAAATGAGTTTTACAGCAGAATCAAGTTCTGAATAGTAGTTGCTCTGAAATTCGTTACGAAATCCCAGGGCTTGCTTTGGAGATTGTATGAATGCTGTGTAACACACCTGCTAATCTCTTGCTAAAAGCTAATAAAACTTATTTAATGTCTAATAAAAGCATTTCTTCTGGTGAGTGTTACAGTGAGAAGTTGAGACTGGTAGAGTGTGTTCAACAACCTTTCTATTCAGGAAAGTAAGCCTTTTGGAAATAATTTCAAAAAGTGAGGAGAAATCGTGTGGCAATAAACCTGTAGCACACAGTAGTCCTTCCCTTGGAGAAGCTCCCTGCTTCTCCAGCCAAAACTTGATTCATGTGAACTTGATGCAGCCAACGAGACAAGCAGCAGAGAAATCCCTGATTCTATTCTGAAGAAGTTTTGCCTCAGGCTGTATCTTTACCTTCATTGGTAGTAATGATAAATACCTCTTTACAGGAATGTTAAATACATAGGTCTTCTGAAAAGAGGCCATGCTCAGAATTTTTGCAATAATGTGAAGACAAATTTATATGAATGATCTTTCGGAGACAGTGAATTTTGTATGGGCCAAGCTAGTGATGCCACATCCAACTGACACTATTGTCAAAATAATATTTTTGCAAAGCAGCAGATTATTTTCAAAGTTGGAGTAAGATCATGAACCCTCCATAAGTAGTTTCCTGATTATCATCCTATTTAAAAAAACATCTTGCCAAGAACTATTATGGATTTTGAAATATATGAGAAGGTAGGATTCTTGCAAAGCACTCTGTGTAAAAGCCTTCAGTGATAAAATATTTGTCCACGTTTATGACTGAGTTCACACAGTGAACAGTTTCAGATTTTAGTTATATTTAGCAACAAAATGGGTAAGAACAAATTTTAGATGTTTATTTTAGTCATCGCATCCAGTTCCTTGTCTAGAGGCTAACATTTAGTATATAAGGCAAAAAAAAAAAAGGATGTTTTTGATCAAACTGATCCAGAACTGCTTTTATGAATCATATAAAACTGTAGATTTCATACTCATGGAGAAGTAACATGCAAGACTCATCTCCTTAACCTCTCTAACCAATAGCTGTTATTACTAAGCATATTTATTCCCAGTTGTGTTTTCTCTTTGAATGGAAGAAGCAGTTTTAAGAAATACCACTTGATTTTTGAGGTTGCAGAAATTCACATTTGGTGTTCGAAAGCAACAGCTAGTCCTATTCCATAGCTGAGAGATCCATAGTATTTAGTGAATTCAAATTATACAGAAGAGATTTCAGATAAAATACATAAAAGAACTCCTTTAAATAAAACAGGCAGAAACTAGACTACTCATGTTTTTTTTACATCTTGAATTTCCTTCATTCATTTCTCCCTACATGTGTAAGTCTTGTACTGCACTTCTATTTGATGATTATAAGCTTTGTAGTATTAAGAAAATGAAGTTACTTTAATAATTGTCTATATTTAGCAGTGAATTCAAACTTTGACTGAACTCTGCAACGGAGTGAAGTCCATTTCTTGCTTTATTTCGTGTTCTCTTTTTTTTTAAAAGCCCTTTGAAGCAAAAAGGATGTACTAAAGATCTAGAGAGTAGCAATTGATAGATTTCTGTTGAGGCACTGGTATTAATCTGTAATAGGAAATATCTGTGTGATAAGACAGCAGATAAATAATCATTTGAAATTGTTAATTTTAACAATTGGAAAATACTTTTAAAATATTAATAAACCAAACTTGATGATTACTGTTCTGCTGCTCAAGTTTTTTCTTTTAACATTTTTTTTTGTTTGCTTTCTAAAAAAGAAACAATTAGAAAAATAGATCACAGAATCACAGAATGTTAGGGGTTGGAAGAGACCTTGAATGACTGTCTAGTTCATACCCTCTGCCAAAGCAGGATCACCTAGAGTAGGTCAGAATGTAGAAGTGAAAAAATATCTCTGAGCTTCCATGTATGATAGTGGATGAACTTGTTTAACAAGAACAATTGCTATACTGTGGCCAGATACACTTCTATACGTCTGTGACTATATAGTTTTCAAAAACAGCTTTACCTTTGTGTCTTCCTTTTCGTTTTTCGCTGCCTGCTTCTTCCCTCCACCCCTTCTCTCCCCAGAGGAAAAAGCCAACAGATAAACCTGTCTTGGTCCTGTGCTGGATTTTATTCAGAAATGTAGAGCTTTTGTTTATTCAACTTACTATAGTCAGTGTAGAAAGCATTGTCCTTATTTGCATTCTTTTATTTATGTTCCTATTTTTCAGATGTGTTCTTATAGAGAAGAAAATACATTTTGGTCTTTTTTTTGGTTAGAAATCTAACTGTTTTCACTTAAGTGGACATGTAATTAGACAGGAATCTTGCAGGTTCTGCTAGGGTCTGCTTAAGATTTAGTGTTAGGGTTGGATTTTTTTAAAATTAAATAATCACTACTCAGTAGGAACTGATGAGACACTGGCCTTGAAAATTACTGCAGTATAAATACTAATTGCAGAGATTGATGTGTTAGATCTTTAACCTGATACCTGCAATGAATGCTGCAGTAAGGTACATACTGTTTTCAAAGGATGGTAAAAACCAATATTTTTTCACCTTCCTTTTCTAAACTTTGGTGAACTCTTGGTTTTTTTCCTTGCTCTATAGGAGTCAGCAGTACTAGGTGCTGTCAATCTGTTATTACCAGAGTATTTGCACCATGACCTGTCTTGTAGAGAATAAACTATTAATTGTGACTTTCTTCTTCCTTTTATATTTTGGAGGTGGTCTTCCTAAATCCCTTTCTTCTGTGTACCACCTCTTCCTCAACCCTTTGGAAAAGGAAAAGGTAAACTATTTGCCATTTGCAAGGTAAAGCCATTAGTGCCTCTGAAGCAGTATAGCTGCTCTGGTAATGGCAAATTGATTATATTGTATTGCTATGGAGCTAGCTGATGGTGCTATTTAGATTATAGATTAGTTTAAGGAGTTTTCTAGTAAGTGCTTATCAAAATCTAAATGTAAGATTTCTCTTTATCCTTAGTATTTGTTTTAAGATTTGACATAAATGAAGCCTCATTAATAAACTGTCTTAAGTTAAACTTAAGATGTTTTACAAATACTTAAAATTAATTCCTTTAGGAATAATCACTATATGCAAAATCTCTACTTAATGAAGGAAAAATGCTCTGTGGTTCTCACTGAAGTTTAAGTAGAAAAATTCTTGTGTCTGTTGTCCTAGTGAGAAAATGCATGCTTTAGCAATTAACTGAAATAATGCAGTTTCATGGGGCTCTGTGTATTTAATGTGGCTGTATTTCAGCTAGCTGTTACAGGAAGAGAAAAGCATTTTAAAATAAGACTTGATTCAGTATGTAGATAATGCAGATTATGTTTTCTTCTCTTTTTGTGCTTTTTAAAAGAAAACCTAAAAGTTATTTAGCAGACTGGAAACTATGGCATCAGATACCTTATTGGTGTGCAATATTGCTGTTTGCAGCACCAGCTTCCACTTCCATATATTGTCTTTGCATGCAGTGTGAGGGCTCTGATAAATTCTTGAACTATTCCTGTAAGTACATGTGAGCTAAAATGTTTAAGTAGTAAACATAGCTAAGCAATTTCAACTAACTTCTAAAAATCTCGTTTAAAACATCCTTTCAGAATTATAGTTTGAAATGTGAAAATGGTGTGCGTGGCTCAGTGGAACAGGTACGCATGCTCTTAGGCAGTTAGCCGTCTGTATGTTCCAGTTTCTGTTCTTGTTTAAAGTTTTCAGGCATCTTGAGGCTTTTTTTTTAAGCAGTTGTTCTGTACTTTAGCACAGTGTCTCCTGGGGCCTATAAAAAATAAAATATGATCATAACTTTGATCCAACAAAAGATGAGCAGTTTTATGTGGTCCAGCTGAAACAGTTTTTTTAAAAAAAATCCAAGACCTGTTGCTTTTGTTTCCATATTTTATCAGAGGATGCATTGAGGTAAAAGTACATATACTAGGTCAAGCTTTTTGAGATTTCCAGTTTGTGATCACATGAATTAAGATCTAAAACTTTGAGTATCTTCCTGGAGCTTCCTTATTCTGATTTATGCAGAAATGTTTTTAATCCTAAGAGTCTCAGAATGTGTACAAATCTTGCAAAGTATGATGATTACATTTATATTGTGATGCTGTCTTGTCATAATTAGATGCCAAGCTGTTTTTATTTTTAAGTTTTACACTTTAAACACTATTAATGTTTGTAAAATTTGAAATACATTGCCTGAAAATACTCTTCCTCTCTTTAAAGGATACTTTGATTGTGTGGTCTGAAGCTGAAAATTATGATTTGGCACTTAGCTTTCAAGAAAAAGCAGGATGTGATGAAATATGGGAAAAAATATGTCAGGTAAGTTGGATAAATGTAAGATCAAGACAACCTAAATCATGTTAGTGTTTGTGGTTTAAGTTTTTAGACTGTTCCAAGATGTGAATCTGAACGCGATAAATAGAAGCTAAAAACTATCATCTTGGCCACCTCCTCAGATTTTCCATTCTTGAGTTTGAGAACTTCCTCCTTCCTCTAGAAATTTGATATGAACTTAAACTATTTCTGGGCTATTTTTTTAGAGCAACTTCAAGCCTTTTTGCTTAACTGCTTTTTAGCTCTATTATCACCCAAGGAAGTTTAACTCAAAATGAGCGCTTAAGAAGTTCCATAACAATTAATTTCATAATTAACATTTTCCAGGTTGATCAGAAAGGAAAAGATTATCTGTCCAAAGTCTTACTGTAGAGAGAATAACGTACATGAGCTCCTAGTGAATTTTGTAATGTATTTCTCAAGGATTTAACATATCTTATTCATATTTCTTTTTCTACACTTCTTATTATTTTCTTTTTCTTATTTTAGGTGAAGGGAATATTGAGTTTCTCACAAAACTTTTTTCCATGTAAATGTGACAGTGTGCTTCTGTTGACTGTCACGGTATGAAAGATTGATCTGATAGTTGAAGTAGGAGGTAGCTCTATCCCTGTATTATCACTCCAAAACTGTAATTCTTACAGTTTAAAGAAATCAAACTATTTATATGTAGCATGTATGTATTTTAATATGCACAAATTAACTCTTTGTTTTACCACTACAACTGGATGACTATATAGTCACAGAATCAGTATTGTTTCTGGGTAACATTTGGTCAGGTATTAACTAGTGACCATTACCCAAAAGAATTTAATCAGTATATTTACTGATACTAGTTCAATTTGTTATTTCTTGTTTGGATTTTTTGTTCCATACTATGCTGCATTAGGTGAGGTTTCTCTAAATTTGTTGAATTGTCTCTCTCTATGCTCTCTCAGTTCTTGAAAAACATCTCTCTCTCTCCCCTCTGTTCTCACCAATTTCAGAAAAAAAGCAAAAGAAATCTGTTTTTGTAATTGCATGTGTGTAGATCCTTACTTTTTCTTGGAAAGCATCTTTTCAACAGTGCACCACTTACTTATATAATTACAGAAACATTTACGGGAACCTTATCAGTCAAAGGACCAAAAGTTGGGGACAGAAAGCAAGTGGGGGAAAGGGGAAATGACGTTCTTTAGAAACACCCAGATAAAAGCCCAGCTTCCTCAGCCTCATGTGAAGATCTAATATTTTTGTTAGAAACCAGTGTCTTTATATCCTATTTTGAGACTGTGCTATTGTATTTGTGTCTAGTGTGCTTTAAAGATCTTAACTTCCTTAGTCGTTAAAAGATTCTTCTGAAAGGAAAACTTTGATAACACTTAATACTGGAAGCGATTGCTGATGTGTAAGTATTCTGCTATTCTACACAGCAGTGCCTTCCAGGATTTGACATATTTCACTCCAAGCAGATAATACAATTAAGATAGTGTTAAGGCTGAAACGCTGATGCCCAAGCATCTCTGTTTGTTTTTTTCACTAGTTCTTACTTTACATGGTTTCCTTGTTGTATCTCTAGGGAGATCTTTGCAGATCCTGTGCCTTGTTTTTCTGACAGCTTCAGGTTTCCGCTATTTTGTTAATTTTGGTTTGAGATTTTCTGTTCTTAAGAAGGTATTCTGTGCCTCTGACTATTTAGAAAGTGCTCGGTAACAGATTTTGACTTGCAGCTCTCCAGAACTTAAAAAAAAAAAATTAAATTAGTAACATTGGCCTCTCTCCTCTGTTCGAGGTAGCAGAAGCTTTGAGAAGTATCAAAAGCAGTTAAGTGGCCTATATATAAATGTTTAAAGCTGTCACTGATTTGCATTTGAAATCTTGTCTGCAGAGAGTAAGGACTGGAAATAAATAGCTTAGTTCAGTAGTTTATCAAAAAGTTATCACCCATACTAGTAATTATGAATTTTCGCTTTTTATTTGAAGTTCTCAGAAAATCTAGCTTTTTCCTTTATTCTTCCTCCTTTTTATGGAAAACAAATAGAATTAAATATCTAACACAGAAATAATTTTGTAAAGCTTTCTGTTTGAAGAAATCTTTTGTTTTCCAGACCATCTGTACTTAATGTCAAACTTAACTTTGCACCTCTATTTTCGCCATACAAAGAAAAAGCGTGTGACATTGGAAATGATACTTTTAAAAAATGATGTTCAAGTACCAGTAAACAGTAAATCTCACTTTTTTGAACACATCTTACTTTGTAGGTTCAAGGCAAAGACCCTTCTGTCGATATCACTCAGGACCTTGTCGATGAATCTGAGGAAGAACGTTTTGATGATATGTCATCACCAGGTCTAGAATTGCCATCTTGTGAATTAAGTCGACTAGAAGAAATTGCAGAACTTGTGGCATCTTCACTGCCTTCGCCATTACGTCGTGAAAAACTCGCACTAGCACTGGAAAATGAGGGCTATATTAAGAAGCTCTTAGAAATTTTTCATGTATGCGAAGACTTGGAGAACATTGAAGGACTACACCACTTATATGAAATTATCAAGGGAATTTTCCTTTTGAACAGAACTGCACTTTTTGAAGTAATGTTTTCTGAGGAATGTATAATGGACGTAATTGGATGCCTAGAATATGATCCGTCTTTATCACAGTCACGGAAACACAGGGAATTTCTGACTAAAACAGCAAAATTTAAAGAGGTGATTCCTATATCTGATCCAGAGCTGAAGCAAAAAATACACCAGACGTACAGAGTACAGTATATTCAAGATATGGTCCTACCCACTCCCTCAGTTTTTGAGGAAAATATGCTATCAACACTTCATTCTTTCATCTTTTTTAATAAAGTGGAAATAGTTGGTATGTTACAGGTAAGTTGCAGAATTTTAGTCTCTTTGTTTGAGCTTGGGCAGAGAAAGTTGGATAATTTTTCTTGGAAAGATTGAGGTGCTTCGGTGGAACCTTCACTTCTGTGATTCTGAAAGCCATGTTGAAGTATGACATAAAAGGCATGGATTTCAGTATGGAGCTCTTAAATGTATGTTCCTAAATTCCGGATTTTGGACTAGGTTCTCTGTAACTGATTTAAATGGAGCAAATATATGTAGAATCCTGAATGAGGTTGTTTCGAATTAACAGTACTGTTTGCATTTCGAAGGGCTGATCTTGTATTTTGGGACTTTACAGGCACTACAGTTAAGGATAATTTTTGTCATGTTACCATGAAAAAAAAATCAAGTTGCTTGACCTAAATATTCTATTTCGCAAATATAATCTCATACAAGGATATAGCTGTTTCTAATTTTGGAGTAAATTAGATTAGCTGTTTGGAAAGTACAGGTTCAGAACATAACATTGCCTCAGGTGCTTGAATGGTTTCTTAGTTTGTCTTGTAAGCAAATAATACTACTTGTAATTACAGTTTTTCATGATCTGTGTCAGTGTAAATGTACAAAGATTGTGTAACGCTTTAGATATCATATCTACATGTCTTAAGTATTCTGTACCAACCAATGAACTTCCTGAACTGTGTAGAAATAGGTGACACCTATCTCTAACTCAGCAAAGAGTTACAGCACGTGTTCTAGTTTGCAGAAGTTAATTATCATTACCTTAATTCTCCTAACATTTAATAAACGAATAGCTGCTGCCTTTGTAGGGGCTGTCTGATCTGAAGAAATGGACAAGTGCTAGATGCTGCTGGTTACCTTAATAATTTTATCTTCAGTTGAATCTCAGAATGCGCCCTGTTTAATTTCATGAAAATTGGGTGTCAAAGGAGGGTGAAAGTTCCTTTTGCAAGCTCATAATGACAAATCATTGTCAAAACTAGCCCTCCTGACTTTTTAGCCACCACACTCAGTTGATCAGAATACTGATAGTGTTTAATCCACTCTCTTGGATCTCTTAATCTGCTGTGTCCACACATGGATTATTTGATAAGGAGCCAGATGTGCCAGACATCGCCTAGGCCTAGCGACTGAGGCGTGCGCCTTGTGGACAGAGCGTCAATCACTGGAGGCCTGGTGGAACACCTGGGACATCTTCAGTAGTGCTAGATCCCCGATTATGCCCACCCGAACCAAACTTTTTGTGTGTGTGTGCCCTTGACAAACAAAGTCACAAACGTGTGTCTGAGGGTCTTGGTCATCTTGGAGTGCCCAGTTTGAGGAAGTTTACAAGCCTGAGTTGGAGAGAGTGCTGAAAACGATTCAATTAAAAGGAGTCTTAGCTTGAGTATTCAGTATGACTACTGCCTTCTGAAACATCTTGACCTCTCTGCAAGGGTTGCTAAAGGCAAAGTCCTGAGGATGATACATTTTGACTTGAGGAGGTGAAGAATTATTCAGGACTCTTTGTGTCAGTGGCTGATTCCGAGAGGGATCTCGCACCTGAAAAGGAAACTGAGCAAGGAAAAAGGGGACCCGATCCTGCAAAATTGTTAAGGCTGTATTTGCCAAAAATCCCAAGGTAACATGATCGAGGACTAGCGGCTGATCAGTTTCCTTTTTTCTGTGTGTGTTAGGTTAATAGCTGTGAGGTAAGCTTGGGTTAGAATGTCAGTGTTTGGTTGCGAAACTTGTAGTTTACAGTTGAAATAGAGGCTCAAATCTGATTTTGGTTTGTTGTGTGACCACAGGTTTCTGAACCTTATCTTCACTTCTGGTGCTGTTGTCTATTGTTGAGAATAAAGTATACTCCCTGCACAGCAGAGCTGGAAGAATTAGCATTGCATAACTTCCAAAATGAGATAAATTGTTGAAGAGCTTTCTACAGCTTTGAGGAGTCAAGAGTGGTAGTGCATGAGCAAGAAAATACATCCTGTGCTATATTGCATTTCCTAATCCTTTCACAGTACAGCTCTGTATTGTTGAGGGGGAACCCCCTAAGTTTATAAATAAGAATCTGTTAGAAGTTATTTAACATTGATCAGTTCTTGGTTTGGGGGGAATTAAAAGAGGCTATCATAAATTATATGACCATCGCATTTCTAAGAGATTAAAAAGCTTGACTAAGTGATTGATTTTTCAGGTTTTCACAGCTCTAAACCAAGGTTTAAACCTACTTACCTGACACTTATTTATTCATTTATTTATAGAGCAATATGTCAGGTTGCAGTTTTCTATAATCTCTGCCCCCTAAAGTTTCATTCTTACTTTTCCTTTCTCCATCCTCCATTCTGACAGTCCATGTATAAAAGGTAAGATACTGTCCGTTCTCGTGTCCTTAAGCAGAATAAATAATATTCTAGAACAAAATTAAAAGGCTGCTTTTGTTAATTTCACGTCTGTGACTAATTCTTAAGGTCTTTCTTCCTTTAGTGTATGGTTTAACATGCTTTCTGTAGCTGATTGTATCACAGTACTTTGGGGGGGCCACGTGTAATGTCTTGAAAAATTTAAAGTTGTTTGTAGCTGGAGTTGCTGGCATTCATTATTTTAGATCTTAGGAGATCCTGGTGCTCACTAACCTTATGTGTGTACTTAAGAAGCTGTTTCTTTTATGAGTCATTTTTAGTTGCAGAGTTTCTGGGATGCTTCTTAATAGTTTATTGGGAGCCATGGATGAGTCTCAAGTTCTTAGTTAGCTGATGCATAGGACAGGTTGTTAATGCTTCTGCTCTTAATTTTAGGTTGTCTCTCCTGGACCACAGAGGGTGTGACAAAAGAGCCATCTTAGTAAATTTTACTTCTCGAATTAAAAGTAATCTCACTGAGCAGCTGATACCCTGTGACATATTGCAACAGTTGTGTATACAACTGAGTTGGTTTAGATTCTGTTCTTTTCCCTCTCACTGGCCGTTAAGGAAAGGAGAAGGAAAACTCTTCCTTCCACTATGAAAAAAAGATGAGATCTAAAGAGCCCCTTTCATGTCAGGCTGTGTATTAACTGAAGTAGCACTTTGCAATACCCTGATCTCAGCTCAGCTGTATGTTTGTTAGAGAAAAAGTGACTAGAAACTTGTACAAGCCTCTGTGCAGATTGTGCCTGTGTTTGTGACAGGCCAGGTGACTTTACTCAGAATTACTGTTGTGTGTTATTTAAGGCATTTGGTGTCATGATTGGACATTTACGATCAGTTTTTCAATTATAACTAGTGAATTCTATAAATAAAAATATGCTGATTCTTAAGAATTCTGGCTTTGTTAGGAGAGATTTTGGATGTCTTTTAAACAAAAATAAATTCTTTAGTCATGGAAGATACCTGCTTTCATGATTTTACTTTCTTTGGTAGGTAAATAACTGTTACCTGTTGTGTGGTAAAATCAAAAATAGAGAATTGTTCACGTTTGGCACCTAGGGCTATGAACTATATTCATCTCTCCTCCTTCATTACGGTTAGCTTTCCCATAATCTTTCTAAAAATGCTTTTCTGAGAAAGGGAGGTTAGTTTGTGATTTGTCTAAGGTATGTCATTTTAAGTAACTAAGTCAAGATCATGCTAAACTAGATACTGTTGGTCGTGATGGATAGTAAACCCGGGATACCAATATTTCCAGTCCACGAAATTAACTGCTTGTCGAAAGCTGCTCAGTTAGAGGTTTTATGATTCGCTGTACGTAAGATACGAAAGAGGTATATAACATTTTTTTCCAATTTCAGCCCCTCCTATTATGCTCTTACTGCTTGGGGTCCAGCCAGTTCTAGTCTTGAGATGTCATAGCCACCAAGAAACCTTGCTGAAACATGGAGTTCGCCAAGTGTTGAGAGTGGGGGTGGGAGAGGTAAGTGGTGTTTCTTGCTTTATATGACGCTCTTTTGCAATTTAAAAAATACATACTAATGTTCACACTGGAGGCCACCAGTTCTTTCCCTTTATATTATTAACTAGTTCTTAAAAAACAAAAACTTGCAAAACTGCGCCATAGAGTGAGCAAACACTATTTCCTTCCGTTCTCTACCCCCTTTCTCATTGGCATGTTCTTTGTGCCAGCAAGATCCTGCAGTGTTTTTTGCCTTCTAGAATACAAAATATTTCTAGGTTCACTTTTGAGTACATACATTTAGATGTCAGAGTCTTTATTTTCAGGAGAATGGAGGGTGGAAGGGGAAAATTGGACGTAGGTTAAAATAATTTATGTGTCTAGTAGAGCAGTGATCATATGGCGTTATTATACTGTTAAATCAGTTTTTTTAAGTACAAAAATCATATTATTGATAGTCCCTAGCTCCCTTTTCAGTAACTAAAAAATGGTTGGCATTTACGTACATCTGTGTATTTTACTAGATTTATACGTAACAGTAGGCTGGCTTGAATTTTGCGAGTGGTTTTACAGCTAGTTGCTTATTCTTAACAGAACCCCGTGAATGTAACTATCTGTACTTGCTTTAGAGGAAGAATTGTGTCAGTGCATCTTGGTAGTTTTGTCCAAATGCGTTAGGATTTAAACTTCTCCTGCTGGTCTACTGTTTTGCAGTAGTCAGCTCAGGAGTAACTCTGGAGATGTACTTTCAGCAAAATTTACCTTGCAATAAAATGTAAAAGGATACCACTTTCTGAGGGAAATGAGTTAGTGAAAGAAGCTTGCAATGGTGAATGCCAATGATTTCTGAGATTAACCTCTTCATAGTAGAAAACGCTTTTCGATGTTTACAGGAACTCCTAATGTGATTAGATGGATGCTGCTGCTGTTTCAATGTGCTGTCTCAAGTGGAAAGAGCGTATCGATAGCAAATGAAATCACGTGTGGTAAAGCAGTCTGAGATAAACATTTAAAATTGTTAAATCTTCTCATGTGGTAGCACAAAGGAATGCGTATTTAAAGCTGTAAATCTGCATTTGCTGGTAACATTTTCTGAAACTTTATCTGAAGTGAAATATTATTTCTGCCTAAAAAGAGTACGAAGGTGGAAAATAAGGTGGAAAGCATATTGGTTTTTCAAGCTTAGGTATCATTGACTTTTTGGCTGTTTTTTGAGAAAGGAATATTTTTTGTCATTTACCTGTAATCACAGCCATGAAGTATCTGATAACTCAAAGTTAATTCTGTTGAAGAGAGGACCACTTTTGAAGAATGCTTTAAGTGCCTTTTACGAGGAGGAGAGCTAATTAGTGTTCCTTTTAGGAGGAGGAGAACTAATTCGAAGGTTGAATCACATATAGAAATAGTGTCTTTTTTTGTGATCCTACTTTGTCTGTGGATTTTCTTGTTTTTAAAGTCATGAGTGACTAGTAGAAGACCTTGCTTAATTTTATCTTCATGAACTTTGAAAGGTATTAAATCCTAGGAGCATCTACTTAGATCTTGCAAAAATATTAATGAATATATTTAGTGTTTGGTATATGCGTAGTTTAAGTATTGCTCTATTGGTAATTTCTGTGCATGGAGAAAATAACTGGATGCTACAATTACCTCATAAACTCTTGTTTGCAATTTTATTTTATTGGAAAGTAGTTGTCGCCTTCACAGCTTCTAAGATTCGTCCAAATGGGTTTTGACACTTGTCTGCATGAAGAGGCCAGACACTACAAAGAATTATGCATTTGCGCTGTGTTCACAGACGTGTTTTGGGGGATTTTTGCAAGTAGGAAAAAAAAAGGGAAAACATTTAAGCTTGTGTAATTGTGCCAGTATATGCTGGGGACTGACCTGCTGGAGAGCAGTGTAGGAGAGAGGGCCCTGGGGGTTCTAGGGGACAGCAGGATGCCCATGAGCCAGCAATGTGCCCTCGTGGCCAAGAAGGCCAAGGGAATCTTGGGGTGTGTTAGAAGGGGAGTAGCTAGTAGGTCAAGAGAGGTCCTCCTGCCCCTCTACTCTGCCCTGGTGAGGCCACATCTGGAATAGTGTGTCCAGTTCTGGGCCCCTCAGCTCAAGAGAGACAGGGAAATGCTTGAGAGAGTCCAGCGCAGAGCCACAGAGGTGCTGAAGGGAGTGGAACATCTCCCTTATGAGGAAAGGCTGAAGGAGCTCGATCTCTTTAGCCTGGAGGAGAGGAGGCTGAGGGGTGACTTCATAAATGTTTATAAATATGTCAAGGGAGAGTGTCAGAAGGACAGAGCCAGGCTCTTTTCAGCGGCGTCCAATGACAGGACAAGGGGCAATGGGTACAAGCTGGAACACAGGAGGTTCCACAAAAATATTAGGAAAAACTTTTTCACTATGAGGGTGACAGAGCACTGGCACAGGCTGCCTAAGGAGGTTGTGGAGTCTCCTTCTCTGGAGACTTTCAAAACCCGCCTGGACGTGTTCCTGTGGATTTACTGTGGGTGATCCTGCTCTGGCAGGGGGCTGGACTAGATGATCTTTTGAGGTCCCTTCCAACCCCTGACATTCTGTGATTCTGTTGTTTATGCTTTGTGACTTCTAGAATACGTGAATTCTGCTCTCAGATGATGCATTCCTGTAGATTCTGGTAGCGTTGTACAGAAAAGTGTCTTTAGATAGCTGTCCTTATCAGTAGTTTTATAGCTTGAGAGAGAATCTTGTATTTAGAGTGTTCATTGCAATCACAGTTTTTCTATAAATGTGAGAGGGTTGGGGGTTTTCCCGTCAATAACAACTGTCTGCCTTTCAGTAAGCATCTGGAATGAAATAGTGTCTGAACGCATTTCAGGGCTAAGGTATAACTGTGAAGTTAGTAATAGTTTTTTTTTAATTTTCTTGGAATAACTATCGTTTACCTGCATATTGTCCAGTAAGGGTAGGATGTTTCGAATCGCTCGGATCCTTCTTAATTTGTCTAGTTTTAAATAGATCACAGTTCTTCTGAGGCCTAGAGATTTCCAAGAATGTATTTAATGGAGTTTGGGAGAGAGATGGTGTGGGAAATGCTTCAATATTCTATTTAGTGCAGAATTGTAAAATACTGTATTATAGTATATATGTGAAAGGTTGAAAAATGGTTACATATGAAACTTCTGCAAATTCTTCCTGAAACACTGTCAGCATTGAAGTCTTCATCATTTCCCAGTGTTTGGAAGTCCCCTCTAGAAGTCTAAAATCTTTGCAAGCCCAGTAACAGGGTGAGCAGGTTGTCCTCCGCTGCGGAGGAACATGGTGGGATCTGGTCAGGGTGCTGAGCTGGGATCCTGCCTGGGAGGTGCTACCGGCCGGGATCTGCTGTGGAACTGCAACTGCGGCTGCCCCACGGGACCAGCTCTGCCTCTGGGACTCTGCTGTGGGCTGTAAATGGGACCCACATGTCACCAGCAGTGCAGAGGCTCCTCCTCTCCTTGCACATTTTGACTTTAAAACCAATATTTGATGTTTTGGGTAATACTACATACCTTTCTTATACAGAAGTGCAGTCATCGTGACTGACTCACTTAAAGGCTGAAAATACCATTATTTTTACCCTGTGATAGTTCTAAGGTATTTTTGTGGTGTTGACCTCTGCTTACTGCCAGGTATTGCGAACGAGGTGAAAAATTCATTTCACAGAGAGAATGGAAGTAGAGGTTACACTTTCCAGATGGGGATAAGCATGCATCTTCTCATCAGCTTTGATAGATGAGGTTAGGTTTTCCATCTTGAGCAAAATAGCAAAAAGATAAATGAAAGCAAACTATTGAGCCTTTCTGAAATGCACTACTAGTGATAGAGAATAACTGGTATTTCTTCAAAATCACCATGGTTTATGTTGTTGGGTTTTCTTGTCACTTTTGTGTTTATTTTTTTTATTTGAGTAAACAAGTACATAATTATCTCTGCTGTGGTGTAGTTATGTTACCTGTAACATCTAATATTAGTTAAATATTAGAACAGGAAACTTACTAAGATAACAGCTGGACAGCAGGTGGTCAAACATCCTTGTATTCTTACATCACAGCTTAAGTAATGTTTCTTGAAATCAAAGACCTTAATAGTTGTTTTGAAGATGTTTGGCTGTTGCAATCTGAAAATCAAACTTTGTGTTTCCAGTGTTTGATCCTCCAGAGTGAATTTTGGCAAAGTTCAAATGAGGCCTCTTCTGTCTCTTTTTGGTTTGATTTTGAAGCAGTCACAGAAATAGCACATGAAATTGTGTCCAGAAATTTACTCTTCTTCATTCTCACTAGTCTGTTAGGTCATGTTAGAAGCGGAGCACAATTCAAACAGGAGGAAATGTGGTATATCCTAAATATAGAGTTTACCATCTAGTGTGGCAAAATGCCTTGTAGGGTAGTAGCTCCTGCCGACCTATTTTGGGTTTAATCTTTGTTGTCCTGTGTCACATACAGACCCTGGATGGGTTGTGACAGAGTTGTAGCTGCGGTAGCGCGGTGTGCTGTCAGAACCAAGGTTTTCACAGCAAGGCTGGAAAGTGAGCCTGGATGATTTGCAGGATGAGAAAGTTTGTGTGGATGTATCTGAAGTGCTTTCATGTTTCTACTTTATTCTGTGTAAACATAAGGAAGATTGGATTTCTAGCATTGTGTTTTTGGGATGGAGAGATATTGCATGTGGTGTTACTGACCTCACAGAAAACAGCATTCTGGCAGCATCTTGAAAAAACCGCATCTGATGGTGCAGATCTTTTTCAAACAAGAGCTGTCTTATGACTATATAGTATTGAGGAAAGGATGTGGGAAGGTTTATTTCTGTTTTAATAATCTTCCATTAGTTAGGACTGTAAAGGTTACAGGAAGCTGGTTCTTTCAGTCTAAATACACATATGTAATGTGTTGGCCGCTGTTTGTATAAGGTACAGCAGCATGAAAAATAATGGAAAGGGTTTTGATTGCTGCCAGCCAGAGTGCCCGATAAATGCGGTATGGAATAGAAGTGCTCTGATTTAGTTTCTAGAATTTACCCTTTTCACAGTGCTGGAGAGAAAGAATCTCGCCCCCTTCCTGCTATTAGGCAGCTCCTTTTGTCGTGTCCTTGCTTTAGTTCTGTTGCAAAGGTCTCATAAAATTTCAAAGATATGTATGTGTGTAGGTAGGGTTGAGTGGCAGATTATGTTTATAAATATATGTAAGCAGTGAAACAAGGGTATTGTAGTGTGGTTTAGGGTGATGGGCGTGTGACAAGGGTGAGGGAATTTAAAGAAGTTGAAGACAAAATCATGAGAATGGCAGTAGAAAACAGAAAAAGGATGGCTGAAAAGCAATACAAGATACATTATAACTGAGAATGACCTGTTGGAGGAGGGAGAGTGATGTTGAACATTGATGAAATCTCAAAAACAAGATTCATGTTAATTTGTTTGAAAATTCAGTTAGAAAGTTGATACTGGTGTGATTAACTACAGTACACAAGCTTATGTTCTCTTAATTGCAGGAGGCATCATTTAGAAAAACTTCATATTACATTTGGATGCCTTTTGATGTTATAAATAAACAAATGGTATTGTTTTGCCTTTGTAGGAAGATGAAAAATTTCTGACAGACTTGTTTGCACAACTAACAGATGAAGCCACAGATGAGGAGAAAAGACAGGAATTGGTAAGAAATCTACGAAATATACATAAAAGGGACAGTTACTAAAAATTGATACGAACATTTTTTTTTAATTACTGTTATATTATTCCTGTTTTCAGGTGAATTTTCTAAAAGAGTTTTGTGCATTCTCTCAAACACTGCAACCTCAAAACAGAGATGCTTTTTTCAAAACATTGTCAAATATGGGCATACTGCCAGCACTAGAAGTCATACTGGTAAGTCAGTTCATTTTTATTTGTGATAACACTTTTTGTTTATCTCCAGAGAGGTTTTTTAAAAAGTAAGTATGCCAGACTTCAGTCACATAGTTTACTGAAGTGTTTGTTAGTTTTCTAGTTAGTGTTTGTTAGTTTTCTAGTTAGTGTTTGTTAGTTTTCTAGTTAGCGTTTGCTTCATTTGTCTTGTCTTAGGTTGAGAATCAGAACATTTAAAATATTTTTGTAAAACTTTAAAAGCTGTTAAAATATGACATTGGTAACTGCCCTGACATTCTTACGTTCTTGTTTTCTCATTCACTTGCCTATCTTTACGGGCTACTTGGTGTACAATTCAGTAAGAAAATAGGGAAATGGACCAAAGGGCAGGGAAACCGTAAAATTTATTTTGCCGACAGTTGACAGATGTACAAAGAAGAGATCAGAGTAAACTCAGTTTTAGAATACAGTTTTAGTAGTAGTTAGGTATGACTTAGAAGTAGGGTTTAAAAGTCTCTTCTTTTAAGGGAACATAAACGATTTTATTTGACTTTTCCAGGGTATGGATGATGCACAAGTGCGAAGTGCAGCCACTGATATATTCTCATATTTGGTTGAATACAACCCATCCATGGTACGAGAGTTTGTCATGCAGGAAGCGCAGCAGAATGATGATGTAAGTAGAGGGTCCCCAGAAATGTGTGTATTATTATTATTTTTTGAAATTACTGTTCTCTATGTTTACAACTCTATTAATGACATGAGCCCTAGTTCTGAAGAAGTATGAAATATAGTCATGATGGTTACATGCTACTGAACTACCATGATTTTAGAAGTTTGATAGTCAGGTGAATGTTCACCTGGTCAAATATTCTCGTCCGTTGCGTGTAAACTAAAACAGGTTACCGTAAGCCACTGTTTTGATTAACACTGGCCATCATCCAAACAAAATAAAATGGTTTTGAATGATGTTCTCCTTAAAATGTGAAATGTAAATTTCAGTCTTCATCTAGCACGTACATCTGGTTTTAGTTTACTTGTAAGAAACCTGTGTTCAGTTTACTATCACTTATATCGAAAGTGGAATTAGGGTCCCAGGTTTTTAAGAACACTTTTTGACAGAGGTTTGCATTTCCCAGAGATCCTCTGGAAGTGATAAATACAAAATGCCAGCACAGGACTGGTGAAGTGATATTCAGTGGAAAAAAAAGATTGTGCTGCCTTTTCCATCGAGGAGATAGTTAACGCTTTTTTCTTGTATCTGATGAAAACATGCCAGAAAACAGGAAGGCGCTGGTGCTGCTACTTCTGTACTAGAGGAGTGGGGCAGCTGGGACAGGGAGTATCACTGGTGGTTCCAGCCACTTAAATCTGGTGGCTGTCCTCTTGTATGGGGAACAGTGGTAACTACGCAACTTTAGGGTAGGGATTACTAAATATAAATACCATTTTCTACTTTCTCTTGTTTTCTGCAAATGTACATTATGGTTATTTTTTGGTGAAAGTAATCTCATCAAGTTCAATAGCAGCATAAAATTTACTGTTGTATGTTTGTAGAAATAGAACCCTTGGTATGTATTTTAAAGGGGGATACAAACTAAAACCTCTGTACTCTGAAAAGGCTTCTAGAAGTCAGTTGAACTTTGACGCTGTTAAGTATCTGCCTCTGCTTTTTATCTTTTGGCATTTCAATTCAAACTAAATTCTAAATTAGATTCTTAATTTCAGAACCATTTTTACTTGCTTGAAAGGTTGTTCTTCACTACTTGCCTTCTTACTGTTGAACCACAAAGAAGTAGCATTAGAATTGATTTCTGCCTTTTTTTTTCCTCCCCCCTGTTAGGATATATTACTCATTAACCTCATTATAGAACACATGATTTGTGACACGGATCCAGAACTTGGAGGAGCAGTGCTACTCATGGGTTTGCTTCGTACTTTAGTTGATCCAGAAAATATGCTTGCCACTGCCAATGTAAGTAAATGCCTTCAAATGAAATTACACTTGGGCTTTTTTTAGAGTGTTTGATGTGTTATGTATATAAATTCTTTTTCATTCTTTAGAAAACAGAAAAGACAGAGTTCTTGGGTTTCTTCTACAAACATTGTATGCATGTTCTCACAGCCCCTTTATTGGCCAATACTACAGAGGACAAGCCTAGCAAAGGTAATGCCACTTGGGATTTTGGGCACGTCAAGGCTGTTGAATGTCCATATTTAAAATAGAGTAACCGTCAAAGGATGTTTTCTGTCTTAAAGAGAATCTTAAGACTATGATGCATAGTTCAAAGTAAAATGTTGATTCATGATTTAGTCATTTGAATAATTTAAAAATATGAAATTCAACAGAGACCTGACAAGAAGTGAACAGCATTTGCTGCAGATTTTACTTTATCAAAAATGAAAATATTTGTAGAATTTTTAGTAGCTCATGGGGCTGTTCAGTGACATAGACTTGTTAACAGGTGTAAATGTTTTTAAGGTGAGGGGTTACTAAAGAAGATGCAGAAATGCCCCTGGGAAGGTGTGTATCACAGTATATTGCTGAGTTTGAGGGTATTGGTTCTCTACATCAAACTAAGAAAGCAGAGGTCAGTGATGAAGTAACTGTTCTTGCTGGCTACTAGCAGCAGTTCTGTTTGTTTATTAATAGTGTGCCACATCCAGAACGGATGTTAGAGGAGGTTTGTAAAAGATACATGAATATTCTCTGAACTTTTTAGTTTATGTAGGTTTCCAGTGGTTTAGTTAATCTATTTTAGCTTAACTGGCTTCCAGATTTTTACGATTTAAAATACGTACGTTATTTACCAGTCAACAGTCTGGCACTATTTATAAAAAGGTAGCACTGCCTTTTAATAAAAGCTTAAATGTAGTGTTTATTTAATTTATTATTTATCTACTTAAATGCAGGATTTGTGTTATGTTTTGTATATGCTGATACCGTTATGTCCTAGAAGCATTAAAAAAAGAGCTTGAGATATTTCTTGCATAGTACTTTTGTTAAAAGGCATCATAGGTTCCATTTTTGGTACTGCATGTAGAGCAATTCTTTATAGTATAGACATGTGGACATTGTGATGAGATTTGCTTAAATAAGCCTGGCCACTTGTGTTAGTGTTAAGTTCTATATTCCCTGAACCTTCAAAGACTGTTTTAAGACAGACAAAATGTACAATTAATGTGCTAAACATAGTCCTCAGCGTGTTCCCTAAACTATCTGTGGGAATATACAAGAACTTCGAAATGCTTACAGGAGTGCAATTGGATGTTTGAAGTTAGCTTCTGAAGGCAATACCCTGGATATTTTTAATTACTTTTGGTTTTGTTTTTATTACAGATGATTTTCAGACAGCCCAACTCTTGGCATTAATACTGGAATTGCTAACTTTCTGCGTAGAACATCATACTTATCACATAAAGAACTACATCATTAACAAAGATATCCTGCGAAGGGTACTTGTTCTCATGGCCTCAAAGCATGCTTTCTTGGCATTGTGTAAGTTTGAAACTATAAGAATGGTATTTTGTGAATGTGAAGTGTTATGTATCTTCATTCTGCTGGAAGAAAGCTGTTTACAGGTCATCACAATTTGACTGAACACAGAAATTCTACTCTAATCATCTGTGTTTCTCATACCAATTTATAGATATGTCAGCTAGTATTGGTAAATAATTTTGCATTTATAGATGCTTTTTTTTTTTGAAAAAGCAGGACTTTTCTTAGTATAGAGGTGAATCAAAAAGATAGTATTTCAATATAGAGCATCTTAAGAAAACTATTGTAGGCTTAGATTTTTTTTTTTAGTAGAAATTATGAGAACTATTTAATTAGAGATACAGTTGATGGACTGCATTATATCACACAGAAGGTCAGTGTGCTGCTCTTCAAACGCTGGTTGCTTCTTGACCATGCTCAGCACAGTAATAGTAAAGCAGTGTGACTTTATTCTGGGGGCAGGTAAGAGATCTTTTTCTATGATTACATTGTGTGCACAAAGTTCAGCAAAGCCTGAAGTTGACTGAGCAGTACCATACAATAAGAAGTACCTTTTAAATTTGTAACTGAGCCACCTGAATTTGGTTCTAGAACCTTTGAATAGTGTTTTTTAACCTAGTTGCTAACCAACTGGTGCTGCCTTTTAGCGAGATGATACTCTGTGCATGGGCATTTCACATACCTGTGTACACTTCAGAGATAAAGCAAGAGCTTTACTGTGTTTGTGAAGGAAATGCCATTTACCAGTTTTAGATTGAGATAGTTTGCATCCTAATCACATAGGAATCAATTAAATGTAATCAAACTTACATTTGAATAATAGGAATGATAAGCAAATTTCCTAGTTTTTCTACTGAGAAAATATTTTGCCTTTATCGTAAGTAATTTAAAAAATTGAAAATACACTCTAGTGATATAGTTGAACAGTAGTGTACTATTTCTTTAGTGAACAGAGGTGGTTTCACTTGTACAGATATGATGGAGGATTTTTTTTTTTTGCATGATAAAATAGATAAGTAATCTTGAGCACTATCATCAAGGCTGTTGAGAAGCAGAGAACAGCTGAATGTATTACCTGGTTCTAATAATGTAATACTGTATAAGAACTGAGGTTGCAAATTGCCGTAACTAATGCTGAATGGTTTCTGGACTTCTTAAATCTGAAAATTCTTGTGACAACACCTCTGTTTCAGGTGCCCTTCGTTTCAAGAGAAAGATAATTGGGCTAAAGGATGAATTCTACAACCGTTACATAATGAAAAGCTTTTTGTTTGAACCTGTGGTGAAAGCATTTCTAAATAATGGTTCCCGTTATAATCTGATGAACTCTGCCATAATAGAGATGTTTGAATTTATCAGAGTGGTGAGTGCTTTTATATGCTGAAGATAATTACTCTATTGTTTAATTTTGTAGTTCAAGAATATTTAGCTTTTTGCTTGTGCCTTAAATTATGCTGTTATAATAGGACCATATGATACTGTATTTAAATGACCTTTCTTTTATATCACTTACATGTGTACATGTTCTTTATGTTCAAACAGCACCGTGACTTGAAAGTTAAATTCAGTCAACAGTGTGTTCACAGTACCCACATTTGCAAAGGCAGCACCAATCAAGTGTCATCATGCAGATTGGATGGGCCTGTTACGACAGGAGCATAATTTGAAACTGCTGCTTTAAAACATCCAATTCAGCTGTGCTCTGTAATGTCAATTCAGCTGACTGTGGAACCGAAGAGAAGAAATTCTAGTCTTTTTTGATTATATTGATGGAGATGCTACAAAGTTCCTTCCATGGGGAGTCTCTTAAAATATTCACGCCAGTTTGGCTGGCTGCACAGTACCCTTTCCTCACTGTGCTTTCAGCAGTCACATTCTGACAGACGGGAGATGTGTTAGTGAGGCCAAGCTCGGGTGCAGACAGTTGTGGAAGAGTAAGTGAGTGAGGAAAAAGGAGGCCTTTGAAATCTTCTGTGCTGATGACATCTTTCCTCTGAGTTGGGAATCAAGGTAGTTCACAACCAAGGTGACCTGATCACCATGGAAGAGTTGATTTTAAAATGGTTTTGAAGCTATGAAAAAAGTCAGTCCATATAGGTGGCGCTGACTTCTGTGCTGTGGTCTTTCAGTACTCTGTGCGATTGAGTGCTGATTCCACAGTTCACACTATGGCAAAATAGATCCTCCTTTTCACATTGATACCCAAATTGCATTTCCAGAATGCTTGGCATCTGACAGTGTTTGCCAATTTTTTTAAAGAAAGCAAATTTTTTAAAAAGTGTGCTTTTGTTATTGGTGATACATTACCATTTGTAACAGGTGACCTTTGAACACGTAACCAAAATGGAAAAAAATCAGTATATTAAGCTTTTTCTTGCTTTGCTTGTCCTTGGTAGATGGTCATTAGGGTGTTTATTCTGCCATGTGTTCCAGGGGCTGTGCAGTGCTAAGAAAGCCACACAGGCTTTCTTATTTTTTATAGAAAATTGCACAGGAGCAATTTTCCTGCTGCAGTGCGTGGCCCTGTGCAAGCCTCAGGTGTCTAGAGCGGCTTTGAGCAGCCACAGCGTTAAACTGAAATAGCACAGTAGTTGGGACGCTTTTGTAAAGGACCTTGACCAGCACTGTATGGCCAAAATGGAAAAGCTTGATGTTAGTTTCTGAATAATCATTTTTACATAAGTAATTTATTTGCAGTGAGGAAACAAACAATGTGAATGCTAAGTCTGCAGCTCGAAAACATATTTTTAATTGGCTCATTACAACAGGTATCAGTTAAATCTATCAATATAAAAATATTTTTAAGTTAGAGTGGGAACAACCTTTTAGAATTGGCTTTGGTATAATTTTCGGTTAGGGCTTTAGGTTCTATACATCCTGTTTGAAGGCAATACTGCTAGCAAGTTGCTGCTATTTTATGCCTGTTTCACTAACCAAATATTTGAAGCTCTAGATTTTTAACTATGCTTTCAAGTATAATACTATTTTTTGCATAAGCTAATTAACATGATGCTTCTTACGGAATGTTTAAAAATAAGCTCTAACTTCAGTTACTTTTTACGTTGTATTAAGTAATTTGAAGGAAAATAAGTCACTTTATGTTTGTTCGTATAGGAAGATATAAAATCATTAACAGCTCATGTAATTGAAAACTACTGGAAGGCACTGGAAGACGTAGACTATGTGCAGACGTTCAAAGGACTGAAACTACGATTTGAGCAACAAAGGGAAAGACAAGATAATCCAAAACTTGACAGGTAAATTGCACTAAATGCTCTTAGTAGTTTATTAGTGCTTTAACTCTGTTTTGGGAATATTTGTGGGTTGTTCTGTGGTAGTGAGGAATGTAAACCATTTAGACTTCTGCCTGCATCTCGGGCATTCTTGAATTTACTTGACTGAAAGTGTGATTTCCAGATGGATTGCTTCAACCTCTTGATCAGCTCACACTCGTTGCTGGGCCCCAGTGGTGATGCTAAGTTGTCATGTCCTAATGGACATACACTGTTGTAATGAGGCTGGAAGCTGATCAAGTATCAGAAGTTCATTTGTTTAAATGTTTCCCACTGTTTGATTTGAAAGATTGTTCGGTTGTGAGTTACCATTCTGTGGATTTTTCCTTCAAAAAACTTCACATTAGATTTCCAACACTCGAATCACTCTTTCTGTTTGCCAGAACACGAGTTCCCCTTCCCTAGTACAGTTATCCAAGGTTAGAAGGTTAGGGTGTGTAAAAATAGGAACTTTAGGACTTTTTGCTCCATTTATTTTTGGGAAATTACTTTTGTGTGTAGTTTTATTAAAACAAAATGGACTACTTGTGTAAACAGATGAGTTACTCTTAAGAATTGTAAGCAAGAACTGTTGTTCTGTTGCCTTGAGCTAGTTTGAAAGTACATTAAAAAAAATTAATCCTGATCAGTCATCCTAGGATGTCTTGAAATTTCAGACTTTTAAGTAATTTTGTCTCCTACCAGAAGGTTTCTTAACCAATATTTAAATATGAGACTGGTGCAATTAAAATGAGAGTATAAGCATAGATTTGTTTTAAAATCTTGAAACGCTTTCAAGAGTATGTGTGGGATCTGCAGTTTTGAGTACTCATGTTTTACAGGTGTGATGTTATTACCTTGGCTTGTGTCAGCACAGCTTATCATTCTAGCAGCTATGAAATTCAAGCCAACCGTTCATGCATTAGCGAACGTGTTTGAAGAAACACGCAGCCACTTGCTTCAGTCATTTCCATTGAGTAGAAGAAATAAAATGTTCCTTAGCTTAAGTTGAGCTAAGTGATTATGTGTAGTTGTGCTCCATGAATTTATCCACCAGAAAGTTACAGCTTCAGGAGGCTTGTAGCTGAACTGGCCCTTTTTTTTTCCTTTCTTCCTACATCTTGCCTACTGCCTGCACGAGCCCTGTCACAGTGTGTGTAACTTCTTAAGTGAAGACCCAGAAACAATCAAATGCAAAAATGAGATTAATCTGTTCACACATGTTAGCAAAGAATAGTTCAATAAGGAAGAAAGCCAGAAATTTTGTTGACGTGTGCCACGAAAGGATTCAGAAGAGTGCCACTTAACTAATACTTCTGCACTATTGGCAGAACTTGGATTTAAATGCGATGTAAAGTGATGCAGTGCGTATAGATCCAGATGATAGTGTTGGCAAGCAGATTATTCAGAATTAGATTTAATTTTTAAAGTATATTTAGCATTCTCATTTAGTACCTTGTAATTTCCTAATTTTCCTGCAGTCAGTAATGCAAGACCTTTTCTTTAAATAGAGTAAGACTACTACATTGTATAGTTAACATTTTGATGCTGGTAATAAAGATTGTATGAAAAACATCAAATTTCAGACTTAGCGTTGTTGCCAGTAAATTCTGAAGAAGTGCTATGGAAAATTTGTAAAGCGTTCCATGCTTTTATTGCAAACTGACTGTTGGAATCACCACTTCGCAATTAAAAGAGTGTTTTCAACCTCTCTTCCACTTTTCTTCCGCCTGTTCATCATCACTGTTCCTCTCCTCCAAGCTGCTGCTGTGATAAAAAAGAATAGGAAGGTGGAGCTGAGATAGACCAACTCTTATAGTAGATTAAGGGGAGAGAGAGAGCCTTGTGTCTAAGGCTCTGAAGAATGAAAAATACTGATAGTGACCAAAAGTTTAACAGGTGGATGTGGCAGAAAGAGATAGCTGTCATTTAATATATATTTTAAACCTGAGTCATATTTAAGTTAGATTTGGGGTTAGGCTGGGCTTTTTTCTTTCACACATTGGACCCCAAATGCTGACAAGTTATAAAGTATTTTCAGACAAAAAGTCTGAAGTTTCTAAAATCTTATTTTACAGCTTTTTTATTTACCAGTGTAAACTGGTAAACTAAGCCTGAGTGCAAGATTTTAGTGACACTGATTAAAATTACTTTGTAAGCTACAGAATTTTGGATAGCTAAGGTCATTTGAGTTGTAGCAGAGTTGCACTGTATTTGGTTCTTTGTAAAGAAAAGCTTGTAATGATATTTGCAGTGAAAATACAAAGATTCACATTACAGAATTATTTGCTGGTATTTTTATTGCTCTACAATATTTATATCTGTAAGCCGTCACTCTTAAGTAACTGCCAAGTAGAAGTTTTATTATTATATATATGAGTTGGTTTTTTGAATAAAAAGTTTTCAAACTTACTGTTCTGCAGCATGCGCTCCATTTTGAGAAATCATAGATACAGAAGGGATGCAAGAACCCTGGAGGATGAGGAGGAAATGTGGTTTAATACTGATGAAGACGATATGGAAGATGGCGAGGCAGTGGTGCCCCCTTCTGACAAAACTAAAAATGATGAAGATATTATGGACCCTATCAGTAAATTCATGGAGAGGAAAAAATGTGAGTGATAAGAGTGCCCCTATGGCTTATGCAGAAGCTGTAACTTGTATTTTTTTAGTTCTGCTGCACTGAAGGATTTGCATGTATTTGTTCTGAAGTTCTTAAATTTTGAAATTGTGACACCAGGTTGGTGGACCACTGCTTCAAAACAAGTTTTGTTGTCTTTAAATGCAGAATGACACAAAATAATACTGTTGATTTCTTAAAGTATTTGAATGACAATTTTAGCTTATAGCTAAGTTTTCTTGTGTTTTTATTCAGGTTTATAATTCAAAGTTTTTGATCTAAATGTTCAGGTGATATCGTTGGTAGAATAAAGTGTTTATTCTTGGCCAATGACAACAGGTGGTAGGTAATGGAGGAGTATTCAAAAAAACGTCTATGATGATTCACTTTACTAAGTTGCACACAAAGTCTTAAAGTCTTTTTCCGTACAGTCAAGTGATTTGTAATTAAATGTTTCACTCGATAGTCCTGCTTAACTTGTGCAAAATTTTGTGTTTATTTTTTCTTTCCAGTAAAAGAAAGTGAAGAAAAGGAAGTTCTTCTGAAAACTAACCTTTCAGGTCGTCAGAGCCCAAGTTTCAAGCTTTCGTTTTCCAGTGGTACAAAATCTAACCTTACCAGCCAGTCATCTGCAAGTAATCTGCCTGGCTCCCCAGGGTCTCCAGGATCCCCTGGGTCCCCTGGGTCTCCAGGCTCAGTTTCTAAAAGCACATCTCAGATGGCAGCTATTACAACTAAGGTAATTTTGAATGGATGTGGGTTGTCTTCATTGCTACAGACTAGGGATTTGCTTTAGCGTCTCTCTCAAGTTTGATGTGCTACGCCATAATAGATTGTCTGGTTTGTATGTGCTTTTTGTCTGGCCTTTAGCATTTTTAAGGAGATCTGACCTATATGTAAAAGGAAGAAATAAAAGCTCTTTTAATGTCCAGACTCTTGAAGTAAGGAGCATACAACTAGCTGCTCTTTGCAGCTATCTTTACTGTGGAACTCAGACAACACGCTACTTTTGTGAAATTGCACAGGGATATTTGGCAGGTAAAAATACAGAAATACTTTGGAAACATTGCCAAATTTTGTCAGACTCCACGATGTCCTATCACCTCCATTGAGACTTTCTGCTGTTACCATTTCTAGTATTTTTCAGAATGATATAACTGGCACATGTGAAAGACGTAAGTTGTGTTATGGCGGAATGGTTGCTGTAAGCCAAAGCCTAAACAATTTTTAATATCCTAGCATGACTTCTTTACCTTTTGAAATAACATACAGCTTTGGGTTGGAACATACTGAAGAAGAAGAAGAAAGCCGGTCTGAAGGAATCAATATAACTTGTGATGAATATCCAAACCCAGCATTTTAAAACATATTAGGACACTGTTGGATTTTATCAGATTTGTGGCCAACACTGTATTCAGACCAAGTCAGGGAAATAGTGTGACTGGTGTTTTCTCAGCACTGGGGGGGAACAGGTAAGGTAGTGTTGGTACAGCATCATTCAGATGATGAGAATTTACTTTTATAACAAGTGTTTCCATTTCTGAAAAGTTAGGTTTGTATCTCGATCCTCATGTAGCCTCGGGATAGGTCTGATTCAACCTTATTTTTTTAACAGCACCATGCTGCCTGTTCACCTAACTTGTAGTAGAGGCAAGCAGGGGTTTAGGTTTTTCTTACTTACAGTCAAATATGGCTTAAGGGTTTGCATTTGGATCCGATTCTGTTGAAAATACCCGAATGAGAAGAATTTGGCCGATAGAAGAACTAAGGGGACGCTTCCTCTAAATCCTTCTGTGGAGAAAGGGGATGCAAATTTATTTAATTTATGAAAAAAAATAGAATAGCTAGTCAAATGTTTTTTAAAAGTGATAGAATTGGCTTGGGATTTAGCTCAGTCTGTGCAGTATTTCTACTGGAGGCTTGTTCTCTCCCAGTATAATTTCTTGAATTTGAAATGGAGTCTTTACATATGGAGCATATAGCATACGGTGTAGTATTGGCTCCAGATTTTCAAGTCTTGGTCGCAAAAGTGTTGGAGTTACACTGAATATGCAGTACTCTGAAAAAAACATTCATGGATTCAGGCATAAGCTACCTTCTTTCAGTAAAATGTACAGTGATTATCAATGTGCCACAGTCGCAAACTAGAAACTATTGAAACGTTTGCGGGTGCTCTTGTTAATTATCTGATCCTGGTTTTTTATGTGTCGTATGCTCAGTGTTAAGTTGTATGTGACTATTTAGAATATGTGCAATTGTCTTATTGAGCTGTATTTTTGTATACAGTTGGCTGAAAAATTCTGTTTTGGATGTCTATCATTAGACACTTTGAGTAAAGTACCAGTAACTGTATGGTGGTTATTTGCAATACGAGGGAATTTTTAATATTACTAGATTAATATTGATATGCTTTCATCTTCAGCTGCCAAGTTGTTTAAATTTTATAACCTGTACACCTCATTCAGCTATAGTATACGAAAAATTCCTTAAGTTAAAACACATTTAAACTAGCTTTTGTGAAGACAGACTATGTTCTAAAAGTATCGTAATTCAAAAATTGAAATTGAAGGATATTCTCTATTTGTTTCTGAAGTGCTTCCAGATTGCTGATTGCTGCAGTCAGCTGTACTGGGTAAAAAAAAAAAAAATCTACATCTCTACAGATAGAGCTGCAGTGACGCTTAGCAGAACTAACTGGATTTTTGGATTTTCTTAAATTTCAACTGGAAGTATTTCTATTCAGTTGGATAGGTAAAACCCTGTTTTGGATTTATTTTTCAGACAGTGTCACTTTCATTTGTGCTGAAGGATTTATTTTTGTTCTGCTTTGTTTTGTTCAGAACTTCGTGAATCGGTACACTCATGGTGATATTCTGTGCAAAGGTCGTTTCCTGATACAAACATGAAATACCTATGTGCAAACATTTTTCTTAATTACACTTATTGTCTGTCTTTGTAGGGAGGCCTCGTTGGGCTTGTAGATTATCCTGATGATGATGAAGAGGATGATGAAGATGAAGATAAGGAGGAAACTTTACCTTTGTCAAAGAAAGCAAAACTCGAGTCATCATAATGGCAACTGCTGAAGAACGTTACCAGTTGGGGAAGGATGTTTTTTCCGAAAACAAGAGACCCACAGCAAAGCAGCAATCTTCTGTGAATTCCTGTGTGTGACACAGATCAACCTATACAAACAGATTTCTGCCAATCAAGTGCCAATTCAAAGGAGCAGAAGAAGGGGAAATACTTTGTTTAGGGGAAGGACTTACGCCTTTGAGCTCTCCAGCTTGGACCACACGTTGCCCTTTTCTCAGGGAAGGAAATGGAAATCAAAAACAAAAACAAGCCAACAGGGCAGGAGTTTTGTTAGTGGAACTCTGGATTGGCTGGTCAGTTGCTACAATCAGAATATGCTTTCTTGGACCACGTATGAGACTTCTGAAGAAAAGGCGGGTTTTGCCATAATTCTTCACTAGTTAAGAATGCCAGCAATTTCTTTGTATAAAAGAGACCTGCCTTTGAAATCATACGGTCTGAACATTTTAGTCAAGCTACAACAGGTTTTAAAAACCTCTACGGGGGAGGGCTGAATATAAAGTTTCCTCTTTTTTTTTAATCTGTTCTCTTTGCCCTTTAAACTGCAGAATTTTTTTGGAGGTGGGGGATTTGTTTGTCCCTTCTTGATTAAAGATTGAGTGGAATTCTAGATGTGGTCACTTTTGTGTCATAATTTTTTTTTTCCCCCCCTGAGTGTATGCTTAGTTGTTGAGTATATATTTGGGACCATTAAAATTTTTTGATGTAATATAATCTCACTGTTGTGCTGGTACCTGTTTCACCCTGTGTAATTTTGTTCTGCATCACAGTTCTTGATATGTTTAGGATTTTATGGAAGATGGAATAGTTTTTATGAGGGGGAAAAAAGTAATCTTACCACAATGTGCATAAAAGCAATACTATTTTGTGACTAAATATTTTATATTAAATTTTACATCACAACTGTCAAGAAAATATTCAGGGAAATAGGATGGAATAAAAAAAAATTAAACCTTTAAATATGAAATTAGTATTCCAAAGAGACCTTGAAATTTCATAACTCAGAACAATGATGATAGACTAACTCATCAAAATGCAAGATGGATGATTTAGGAATACCAATATATTGACTCATTTGACTTAAGAAAATAAAAAAGAAATAATTAAAGCTGAAGGAAAACGGCATTAGTGGTATTTTTTAAAAACCTCTGATTACCTTTGGAATACCAGTTTTGGTGAATCAAAGATGGTTGTAGAATAAACTCTTTCCAAGGATACCATCTTTTGAAATTTGTTCTAATACTCAGTTGAAAAACAGCGGTGAAACTTTGAGTCTAACTCAGTTAGCATATTCTTTCCCCTTTATCCAATAATCTAAATAATACTGGCTAGTAATTTGAAACTCAATGTTATATCCCGCTTCCTTACTGCTTTTAAAGAAGATGACTTTGAGTACACAGCAGTACTTTCTATGAAGGCGAGTTTATTCAGTTCTTTTGAGAACAGGAGATCCTTTCTTAGTGATATCTTTCAAGAATTTGTTTCCTTTTGGACGTTCAGAGCACCAGTGTTGCAACAATCATGAAGTTATACTTTAACGTATCACATAAAAACAGAAATAAGAGAAATTCAGATCTCAGGCTGGATCATGCTTGTAGATTAGTACTTTCTTTCAGAAAATTGTGTGTTCCATGGCAGATTCTATGCTAACTACAGAAGTCAAAGCTTTTGTGCTTGGACTTTATTAATACTTACTAGTTATTTCAGATTTAAATAAGAGTGTGCATTAGGGAAAAAATAATTAGCCGTCTTTTCCTCAAAAAGTTCATTTGAAATCACTTTCCAAGGTTGAGTTTTTACAATGTGTTTGAAATGTCTGACAGGGCAGTTCTCAGCAATAAATTTTAGAGAGGGCAAGAGTTGAGCACTTGGTCACTACAAGATTAGACGGAATCTTCTGGTGCAGAATAAGAGTTCCCATGCTATCTCAGTGACCTGTATGAAACTTGATTTTTGCAACTTTGGTGTTAGAGCAGACACTGTGCCAAGGAAATCTGATCTTGCAGGTTTTCTTTTAATTGGCTTGAATTTAAATCTTTCCCAATCTGTCAAACTTTCCTTAAGCACAAAGTTCTCAAAAATGTTTCCATATGGTTGTCTTCATATCCTCCAGGCTGTATCTTAGGAAGTAATCTCAAGGCGGTCAGAAGTTTTTTTTTAATGTTTTTTGTGTTCCTTCAGCTACTGAGTATTTGATCTTGTGATGTTTGATGTTGGTCTTCTAAACTTTCAGATACTTTCATAATATTTGTAGGAATCTTTGATTTTAGACTTCCAGTACATGAAGCATTGCATTTAACAGAAGAAATACTATCCTCAGTAGAATCCTAAAATCATAAGTAACTAGGTTTGGTAAGAATAATAATGGAAGAAGGAATTTTTTTGAACTCCTTACATTTTTATGAAGCTCCAAAGGACTGAAAAAATATTAAGCTGCATATCTTTTAATGCCATCTAACCTATAGATTGTTAGTTTTCTTGCCAATTATCTAATGCTTGTGGCCTGACAGGGCGTGTCTGCACTTAGATGATGTAGTCATGGAAGTTGGAAGTAGTCAGGAAGTAGGTGAGGTGGGGACAGAGGTGGATATTCTCTTGCCTTGTGACTTTCGCTTTCGTATTCCAGGAAACCTTGAAATATATTTCAGGGGGTGGGGAAAGGAAATAGGGGGATTGTGAGAAGTGATGGATTTTTGGGGGAAAAAAACAAACTGAAGGATTGTGAAAAGTGATGGATATAAAAAAAAAAGTGGGTATGACTGAAGTGGAAAAAAATACGTTACAAGAGTGTTCCATTCTAGACCTTTCTCTGAGCTGATGGAGTTTCCTTTTGTCCACATCTCAAGAGAGCTACACATATCTTGTATTAAACACAGCTTGGTCATCTTAATTGCTTTTTAACTGTATCATTAAGTACGTTTTACAGGGCAAAGCCAAGATGCAACATGCTTGAATCGTCAGTACAGACCTCTGTTCCTTCAGTGGCTGAAAGGCGTCGTGCTCGTTACTGCGATGTGCACTTTGAGCGTAGGTCCACTGAGGGTACCAGACAAAAGGCTATGGAGTACCTGGTCCCCCAAGGAAGCACATTCTTACTCTAATGAAAGGAATTCCAGGTAATCGGGAATACTTCCAAATTTTCTTCTAGTGTACACAGAGGGTGGTTGTATTTAGTTAACAGTGCACATCACTGCAAAACAGATCTGTGTCGTGCAGGCAGGCAGAAGGATCTGAAAGCTGGTGTATCCAACAAGTTGCCTCTAAAACATACCTGGCTATAATGTACATACTTGGTAAACAAGATCAGGCTGGTGGTCCATCTCGTAGCCCACCCAGGTGAGAATATCATGTTCTCGTGGAGTTAAGTATCAAGTAGGCCCAATCCTTTTAACATAGCAAGGATGAAAGTGTCCAGATTGGTTTTGGCTGTGTTTTTGCATCTATGCAAATTTCAGGAACTGTTTGGTTCGATAATTTGGAAGATTTTGTTCTCGTATTGCTGCTGGGGGTCCATTAGGGAATGGTACCTTTCAACCCAGCACACGTTTCATTGATCGCCTGGCTTCTGTGTTTCCTAGACTGCCCATCGATTGCCTATGTTTCCTGGCTTCTATAGAGTGGCCAGAAAACTCCAGCCTTACCTTTTTCAACAGTTTTGCAGCTGCAGAGGCATCCTGGAGCAAGGCAGTCTGTGGTACAGTAGGACTGCAGTTCCCATGCCTTAAGGATAATGAGACATGTTTGAGGTAAGTTGTGAAGGTAGGAGACCAGATGGGTTACTGCTCGGGCTCACCCACAGCTGAAGTGGCAAACATTCAAAGAAATTACCAGTAACTGAAATTTTTCCAGGTGAGTTGCTGAGGTGCATCTTCTCCACTTGCTCCTACTGCTTCCTCGATTTGGAGACCAGAAGACATGAAAGTAGTCCAGAAAGGAGGCAGGGCGTGTTGATATGCTGCAGATAGAGCAAAACCACCTGCAGAAGGGTTTGCAGTGCTTGCCTTCAGGTATAGCCATAATTTAAAGTCTGTTATTCATTTGAGAGAGGCCTAACTTCCTGTATTTCTGTAGGTGACTGGCTCTCTGGCAAGCTTGTATCTTGATTTAATATTGCTCTAGTTGTAATCGCATTCTTTGGGGTGTGTAAGTACTGTGGGGTTTTGTATAAATTGAAGTCAATATAACTTCAAAGCTGAAATGAAACCCTGGAGACTGCTGGAAAAAAAATTAATAAAGGGAGGAGGGAGATGTAGTCCTCTGTATGCCAGGTGTATTGATGACAAACGTAAAAATAACATACAAGCCAGTGGATAATAATAATAATAAAAAAAAAGTAGAATGCTATTGGCAAATGACTGAAATAGCTACTGATCTAGTGATTTCAGGCCTATGCTGGAGCCTCACTGTGCACCGTTGCATCTCCTGGAGGTGTAAGGTATCTTTCTGCTTCGTTACACTCAAATGTCTTCATGTGAACAATTGTTTGTGGTTTAGGTTGAAACCTGGAAAATACTCGGTATAAGGTGGAATTAACGCTCACAAAATGTGCATCTGTAATAACAGACCAGGGATGATTTGGGCTGAATAACACTGATTTTTATATTTTGCTTGTAAGCAACTTTACATGCATGAACATACTGTATGTGGGCTGCACACCTAACAGGGTTGGGAAGCCTTCAGTAGCCATGCATATCACTGTTCCTAAGCATCACTTCTGGAAATTTGTGCATGCCAGTGCCCTTATATTATGCTTGTGAGTTTTCAGACGAGGCTAATCTTTTCTCTTGTGTTTCAGACGTACGCTTTTGTCACTGAAATCTTGGAAATTTGATTTTAGAGTGTGCTTACCTCAGTAAGGCTTATTTTAAACCTGCTGATGTTGAGTGGCCTTTTGACAGCTGTGGTGTTCAGGTGAGAAGTTGGAGAGTTCGGTACAATCTTCCATCCTGGTGAGGCGGGAGATAGTACAACTCCCTTCACACTGTCACTGAATTGGTGTTGGTCAAGGATCCCTGAAGGAAGCTGTGATCAGGGATGCACCATTTGTCATTCTTGGCCATTCAGCAGGATTTGATCAGTGTTGCGACTGAGGATGCGGAGGTAACTGGAAGCAGCTCCTGATGAACTGATTCACGGGATTCTATGCTAACAACAATGTACATTTGGGAGAAACTTTTAAAAAAACACTTCCATTCTCCTACTTTTACACATCTGAAAACAGTATTAAGTTAGATTATCTTACCCTGAAAAAACGCTTGTGTCCTCCCCATAGCTCCCCCCACCTCTACAATTCCCCCAAAACAGAAGTGAATTCCTCTGTTGCCATCGGTCAGCATTTTGTAATTACTTGGGAGGGCTGGAAGCTGCAATTCCTATTGAAGAAATAACTGCTGATTAAAACCAGTAACAGAACACACCTTTTAGCATGTTTGAATTTAGCCTCAAAATGGAAATAAACCACCTGTGTCTTCAGGGTCTAAATTACCTGCAGTAAGAAACAAGGAAGATGCTTTTCATGGGCAGAACTAAGTACTAAAGCTAGTAATAGAGTAATACAAGCATTTGTCCTATCTTCAGTTCTTTTTATGTGTGTGTGCGCTTCATAAAG